GGCGGCGGGGTCGCGGTGGAGGCGCTCGGACTCGTAGTCGCGGATCTGTACGCGCGAGGCGACCGTTGCGACGACCGAGAGCTGGTAGGCGCGGCTCCTCCAGTCGTCGCGGCTGGGGGCCGGCAGCTCGGGCGGGTCGACATAGGTGCCGAGCTCAGCGGCGCGGTTGAGGACGCGGAGGTAGTATCGGTGGATGACGTTGCGCTGTGGCAGGCGGAACTCGTGGTGCCATCGACTAGCGTGCGCCTGGTACGATCGGAGCGCGTTGAGGCTCTGCACGGGTTCGCCGGCGCGGATGGAGAGCAGCGCATTGCGGTAGAGCGCCGCCTCGGCCCACTTTTCGATCTCGTCTGCCGGGAGGCCGCGAAGGGCGTTGGCCTTCTTGCCTCCGCGCAAGGATTCGTGGAGCTCGATGGCACGAGCGTAGCCGGCAAGCGCAAAGGGGGTGTAGCCAGCCTCGTTTTTGGTGACGAGGAGCCTCTCGTTGGCCATGCCGTAGATGGTGAAGCCCTGGAGGATGAGGGCGGTGAGGGCGGAGTTGTGGATCTCGGGCGAGGCTGCTGCCTCGCCGGCAGTCTCCATGAACTTTTCGCGATGCAAGATGTCGACGGCCTCGTCGTCGCGGCCTAGCGCAAAGAGGGCGAGCGCACGGAGGGAGACGGCGGCTGGGCGGTTGTTGCCGTCGCCGTACTCGAGGACGCGGTCGGCGATCTGCTGTACGTTTTCGGTGGACCAGCCGAGGCCGTCCTGGCCTGGCTTCATGATGGGCGGGAAGAGCGTGGCATCTCCGGCGCGCGGATGCAGCTTGTAGTCCGAGAGGTGCGATGCGTCGGTGTAGCCCGAGTCTGTGTAAAAGTTGTGGATGGCGGCCTTGAGTTCGTGCTCGAGCGATGCGAGTTCGGCCAGAGCTGCGATTGCCAGCAAAGCAAGCAAATCAGAAGAGAAAAGAGAAGCGTCAGAGCGTGCTTCGTCATCGAAGAGAGAGAGTAGTAGGAGCTACTTACACGGCCTGTCGGGGTTGTGTTTGGCAAACTTGCGCAGCAGCTCCTTCCACGGAAGCGATCTGCCCGACTGGCTGGGCTGTTCCACGAGCCAGTTGCCGCGGAGACGAGCCGAGTCGAGCTCCTTGAGGTAGAGCTCGGACTTGCTCTGCATTGAGGGGCCGTCCAAAAAGTCAGCATTTTTTGGCTTCGATTTGACGAGCAAAGGAGCGGCGGATGGCAGCAGCTTACAGATTTCGACATGATGGAGAAGGATCAAGTGGACCGAGCTAGATTCCTTTCGGGCGAGCTGGAGCGTCGTTGGCGGGGCCTTTTAGGACGACGGAGCGATGCCCAACGGGGATGATGGCCGGCGAGACGACGAAAGGGATGCGTGGGGGATGGGGTATCGGTGCGTATGTGGTGGAAGAGCTGGAAGAAGAGTGACCAAGGCGGGGGAGAGCGATGAGCGATGAGCGATGATGCAGGCGTCTCCTGACAAGGGGCGAGGAGAGAGGCAGTGGGGTCGAGGAGCAGCGGTTCAATTGTGCAGCTGCGGGTGATGCATGGTGAGCTGCCTGGAGGATCTGCTCTGAATTTGTTGGAGATGCAGAGAGAGCGGCTCCAACGCAGGTCTGAAAGCGAGCCGTGCGCGAACCAGCCATCCAGCCATGCAGCCATCCCGGCCCATCGCCTCTGACGCTTCTCCGTGGTTTCTCCACCGAAAACCCACGGCGCGACCCGACTTCGGCTAAGCCGCACTGACTGACGCCGCACGACTCTTTTTTCTCTCCGCG